CCCCAAAACCCCAAAACCCCAAAACCCCACTAAACTAAATTGAAATAGTTATGAAATTAAGTAGATTTAATCTTTTCATTTTCCGATACAAAACTCTTTGAATAGTATATCAAGTATATCCTCTACATCAATATGTCCCGTGATTCTGCCTATGCATATCACAGCTGCTCTTAGTTCCTCGACCAGCATATCTGGAAAGAGATCGTCTCTTCTAAAGTTTTCCAAATGCTGCAGTGTTTACTCTAGCAGTTCTCTGTGTCTCTGCCTAGATATTAGAAAATCATCAGCATTTAGATTGTTGATGTCAAATTAAGATGTGCTAATTTTGTTCTTAACAAATTGCTCCAATTTTTCATAGAGCTTCTCAAGATTTAATTGGTCTTTAAAAGAGACATTAAGAGCTTTATAACTAAGACCGTTTTTTAGGACTAATTTACAATAATCTTGGGTATTTGATGGTTGGCAATTGCTATCTGAATAAAGGTCTATTTTATTTATGACAATTATTGGGTCTTAACTCTGCGTTATCTCATTTACTATCAATTGCTAATCTTCTTTCATTATGTAAGAACCGTCATCCACCTTTTCTAAATCTTATATATCAAGCACAATAAGCACTCCATGACTAGACTTAGCCTCTTTTTAAGCTAGTTAAATACCCTATTACTCGATATTGTCTCTAGTTTATTCCCTTAGTCCAGCAGTATCAACTAATATTACGTTATATCCGAATAGGTTGATATTGGTGCTTATCAAATCTCTGGTAGTCCCTGCTATTTCACTCACTATTGATACCCTTCTTTTAGCTAATAGATTCATTAAAGTGCTCTTGCCTGCATTTGGAGGTCCAATAATTGATATTTTAAATCCCTCCCTTATTACCTCTCCTATCTCGGAGTCTTTGATATACCCCTTTATTTGATTGGACAATATCTCAGTTTCTTTGCCAAGCTCTACAAATACTTCTGGCTTCAGATCATTAGTCTCATCTGCTTCAAAATCTATATATGCCTCAGCATGTGCTAGCATTCTCATCAGTCTAGTTCTGAGATCATTATAGAGCTTTGAATGTCTTCCCTAGAGTTGCTGCATTGAGAGTTTAAGTTGCTATTCTGACTCAGCATTTATAAGGTCATTTATGCCTTCTGCTTTCACTAAATCTAGCTTACCATTGAAATAAGCTCTCTTGGTGAATTCTCCCTATAAAGAACTATGAATAAAATGATTTAACATACAGGCTCAGCTTATCTAAAAGTTGGAAACCTGGATAATGCCATCAGCATTTGCTATTTGACAGCGTTTCCTCCGTGAACTTAAAATTCTAGCATATCTTCTCCAGTAAATGAATGAGGTGCCTTGAAATAGAGTAATATTCCTTCGTCTATTTGATTTTAGCTAGGATTATCATGAAAAATGTTGTAAAATTTCTTAAAATATGCGTATCTTTGTTTTAACTTATACTTTTCGACATTATTTATGTCAGTTCCTGAGTATTTCTTTTGTTAAGTTAGTTTAATAGCATCTGTTGCTGTATCTCCAGAGACTCTAATCACCTAAAATTATCAATAAATTAAACCATAGTAAATCTTAGCTATAATAATTACTGCAATAGCTGATTTGCCAAAACCTGTTGAAAGAGCATAGATAGTATCTTTAAATACAAGTTAGCTTTAACTGAAGAATCTAGATTAGAATCGAGTAAGTATATTTCTTTTTATTGTTTGTGGTTTAATAAATTCCCTGATTATTTAATTTAACATTTAATAATATTACTAATATAATTTAGATATAAATCAGAAAACAATAACCTAATTAAACAAAAAAGTGCAAATTAATAATCACTTATTAAAAAAGGAGGGGAAAATACGTTCGAATATTTAGATTCACAAATTTAAATATCCAAATTTGTGGCCTCCTTCGCCTTTTAAGTAAACCCCACACAATAAAAAATCAAGAAATGTCAGATAACCAATCAACTACTACAGCTTAACAATCAGCAGCACCAGCAGCAGGTGGTGGAGACCCACACATTAACATTAAGGTAAAATCATAAGATGGTACAGAGATATACTTTAAGATTAAAAGAACAACTCAGCTGAAAAAGCTTATGGATGCTTATTGCACTAGATAGGGTCTTTCAATAAATCAGTGCAGATTCATTTTCGATGGTGAGAGACTTAAGGATGACGACACTCCAGATAAACTAGAAATGGAAAATGGAGATGAAATAGATGTAATGGTCGAGCAGACTGGTGGTTATTTCTTTACTGCTTTTGGAGTAAGTTCCAGCTATTTTAGTAACAGCAAGTGATTAGTGATTTCGAAATGAATGGAAAAATTTAGCTTTAAGATTAATGCACTATTAATTCTATAAAAATTAAATTGATTTTTTCTTCTTACTCTTATTTGAGTGAATATTCTATCTAACGGGGTTTTGGGGTTTTGGGGTTTTGGGG